CAGTTATCAAATCAGTCCCTGAAAATGTGTGTATTGCTTACCTTTTTTGTTGTACTCAAACAGGTAGCATGCTGTGAAATTCAGGGAAGTTAGTAAATTAATCCTTATTGAAATACAAGGGTACAGTTGAATGATCTACTATATGCTTTTATGTAAACATTTCTTGATAACAAATCTTTAACATTTCTCTTCAAAAGTTAACTTTTTAGGTGGGGATCTGGGTTTTAGTTCTTAGATTTAAACTGGGTTCTTGTGTAAGCACATGCTCCAAAACTGAGGAAAACCCTCAGCTGGATTTTTTTTTTAAGAGAGAGAGAGAGAGAGAGAGAGAGAGAGAGAGAGAGAATTTTTTAATGCTTATTTTTCAGTTTTCGGTGGACACAACATCTTTATTTTATTTTATCTGGTTCTGAGGATCGAACCCAGGACCCTGTGCGTTCCAGGTGAATGCATTACCGCTTGAGCCTCATCCCCAGCCCTGGATTTTTTTTTTTTAATTAATGACTGCAGAGAATTATTAGATTGTTACAAATTACACATTGGAGATATAGTTTTCCTGACAGTATATTAAATACTTTTAAACAGTTGCATTGGAAGAACACGTTCATGGTCATTGTTTTTATATAAAAATTGTGTGAGGGGTTGGGAATGTGGCTTAGTGGCAGAGCACTTGCCTAGAATGTGTGAGGTACTGGGTTTGATCCTTAGCACTCCATACAAAAATGAATAAAATAAAGACATGCTGTCTATCTACAATTATAAAAAATAATTTGTGTGTGTGTGTGTGTGTGTGTGTGTGTGTGTTGTGTGTGTATTTTCAAATATCAATTAGGGCTGGGCATGTAGCTCAGTAGTAGAGCATTTATTTGCCTAGCATACCTGAAGCCCTTGGATCAGTTCTCAGAATTGAACAACAACAACAAAAAATCAAAATCAAAAAACAAAATCCCTCAAATGCCACATAGCTCTTCTGTTCCTGGAGCAGAAAACCCATTGTTTGTTTTGCTTTATAATTGCCATGTTATTTTTGAAGAAAGCATTTTCACTGTAATTTCATAGATAAAAGGGTTAATATATGTCTTCCGGGGGTTGGGTGAATAGTCTGAAATTGTATTCTATTGCGTGAAAACTATGAGAGTATATATTTAGGTATATAATTTTCTGGTTTGAGCATCCATACCTTTCATCAGATTCTCAAGGGTTTGTCAAGCCATTCCTTTAAAAGGATCAGAAAATGGCTTTTGTTTTTAAATAGTTGGTTCAGAAGTTTAGCATACTTGAGGAGTTTTGAAGGCTAGTTTTATAATTGGAGCAATTATATAGGAACAGAGGATTACAGACATTATTTAGCAAATCACGTTAAGGTTTGTTTTTGTCTCAAAAGCTTCCTACATTATTATGTTCCTCTGTCTAGGTCATCCTGCTGGCATGCTCTTTACCATAATGGTGCTACTGTATTATCCAACCATACCGCAGCACTTAAAACCAGTTCTAAACATTACCTTTTATAACTCACATCTGACATAGAAAAATAAAAGCATCAGGCTATCTTCTCCAAGTTTTGATCTTGGAAATTTGGAAGGAAGACAATCACGAAGAGAAAATCCAAGGCTTATCATTTATTAGAAGTATATATATGTGGTTCCTGAGTCTGGTTAAGACAGTGGATATTTTATTTTTAAAACAAATACTTGATTTCTGATTTCAGAAAGGAAAGAAAAATTTCCTTTCTGAATGTGATTTTTATTAGATGGAATATTGCAGTTGTTGGAAGTCGTATTTTGGAGATTTTTTAAATCATGTTGAAGTATTCCAGACAAGAATTTCACATAACTCTGTTTCCTTTGGACAGATTTTATGTCATCAAAGTAGGTTGCTGGTATCTTTTTAAATGCAATGTGGAAGATCTTTATTTGTTCTTTTTAAGGCAGAAAAACAAAAATGAATACAACAACAACAATAAAAATAACTCTCATAAGGCAACAATACTCCATTAATCAATCCATATAATATCTATCAAAATTTTTTCATAACTTTGTCAGTGGGTAAAATTTTTAGTTAAGCCAATCAAGAAATATTTAGCAAGTGTACAGGTTGCAGAATCATATTGGTCATTTAGTATAGTTCATTTCTCCATATTATAACACATTTTAAATATTTTAAGTGATTACTTGCCTTCTCTAAATTAACCACTTTTTAGAGAGTATTAAATTCTGGAACAACGTGAAACTTGTAAGTAGAGTTAACTCTTGATCCAGCCATGAGAAGAAAATCAGAATCCAGTAAATTGATAATAATTGGGAAAAATGTCTCCTCTTGATTGGTAATATTGGACAGATCTCACAAACAACATAATGAAAAACAATTAAAGAGAAAGAGTTGTTAGGATCCTTGTTGTTTTAAACTATTTTGAAAAAGTACTGTAAATATAATGGATATTACCATGTTTCTGAAAACAAGGAAAATGGTAAGTTGATCAGGATGTAAACAGGAAAACATACTTGTGAATCAATCTAGTAGATTTCTAAGTTGAAAGATGTCCTAAGTAGTGTGATGAAGTACAAAGAGAACAGATAGCAATGAGACCCAAGAGCTTTGGATTGGAGGTTAATGCTATCTTTTGTCATTAGGATAATCATGTGTTGCAGATTCTGAGATTTGAAGTTGATCATCTCTCTTGCTCTGACACAATTAGTAATATTCTCTTTCATTGTTAAAAATGTTTTGATTTGGATAAGAAATTGTATGGTTACCCTACTTATTGTGATGCCTCAGTCTATTTTCATAGGGAAAAAAGTATATGTGCTACTTTTAGTTTTTTTAATGATATGTATTTTTAAAATTTTAAAATTTTATTCATTCTTTTTCGTTATACATGGCAGCAGAATTCATTTTGATATTCAAATATAGAATATATCTTATTCTAATTAGTATTCCATTCTTAAGGATATTCACAATGGTGGGATTCACTATGGTATATTTATGTATGTACACAGGAATATTATGTCAGATTCATTCCACTGTCTTTCCTTTTCCCATTCCCCTTCCCTTTCCCTCATTCCCCTTTGTCTAATCTACTGCATATCTGTTCTTCCCCTCTTCCTCTATATTGTGGTGGATTAGGTTCCATATATTTCTGAAAATATTTGACCTTCGGCTTTTGGGACTGGCTTATTTCACTTAGCATGATAGTCTCCATATCCATCCATTTACAGGCAAATGTCATGAAGTCATTCTTCTTTATGTGAGTAAAACTCCATTGTATTAGTATATATACCATATTTTCTTTATTCATTCATCTATTGAAGGGTATCTAGGTTGGTTCCACAGCTTAGCTATTGTAAATTGTGCTGCTATAAAATTGATGTGGTTGTTTTACTTGTAGTGTGCTGATCTTAAATCCTTTGGGTATACGCTGAAAAGTAGGGTAACAATCAAATGTGGTTCTATTCCTAGTTTTTTTGAGGAATATTCATACTGTTTTCCAGAGTAGTTGCACCAATTTGCATTCCCACCAGCAATGTATGAGTGTAGCTTTCTCTTCACATCCTTACCAATATTTATTGTTATTTGTATTCTTGATAATTGCCATTCTGATTGGGGTGAGATGAAATCTCAGTATAGTTTTAATTTGCATATTTGTTGAAAATTCATATCTCTTCTTCTGAGAAGTATCTGCTCAGTACTTTTAGTTTTTAAAGTTGTAATAATTGAAATGAAATTTTTTGTATAATCAAGAGTTTTACAATAAAAAATTCATTATAAGAATAACTGGGATAATTAAATATTAGTATATGCATCTGGGCAGGATGATTTGGGTACTGTTATAAGAGTACTTTTACATGAATAACGTAATTCTTGGACAAATTAGTATTATTCCCAGTTAGTTCTGTAATGCCCATATTTTCCAAAAATGTGTTGTGTTGAAACCAAGTCACAGACCATGACTACAAGCAATGTTGAGATTTAAACTAAGTTGTGGAATAAAGAAGAAGCACAAATCATGTTTTTATGAAAATTCAATGGCTTTACTGAACTGAATGAGAAAAATGGAAGCAATTATTTCATAATTTTTTCAGTTTTCAATTCAGTGTGGATTGTTTTTAGTTTGCTTCTTATCATCTTCAAGAGGTATTTAGGTGTACTTCCGTTAGCTTTTGAAAATGATAATAATTTTATTCTTTTATTAAATCATTATCAGCAATCATGCATTTTAATGTATGCAGGGTGCAGTCCTTAAACAAAAAACATATTTTTCATACAGCTCTATTCCTGAATCCAATTGTATTTCTGAAAATCCATTTAATCTCTTCAAAATGACTGCACTTTAACTTTTTAAATTTCTTCCTGAAAAGCTGTTGGAGGACTTGTATTAATTTTAAACAAAATAAAACAAAATCACTTTTTATTACTAGCAAATGAGTTTCCAATTGAAGGTCCCTTTAGCAATAAAAAGAGGAAGCTGATTTTGCCTAAATCTGAGAATCTTGACCATCAGGAAGACTCCAGAAAGTTGGCACACAGGAGCCAGTTCACCATATGGAACTTTAAAATACACAGTTTCAGGGGGAAAAAAAATAGAGGATATCAAGTGCTACACAGCCTTATTAAAAACATGAATTAGAAAATGTACATGAAAGTATCTGGTCACTACTTGTAGTTTTGATTTGATACTCAATGGATGTTACTTGAGTGAATGAGCAAGATCTAGGAAGAGTAGGAAGATCTAGGAAGAGTCAAGGGATTATATACCAAATAATGCTCTTTCTTTTATTTTTTTCTATGCCAGCCAAGAACCTCTCCTGTAAAGAATAGTACAAATGACCAATAATATATTCATTTCACAGACTCAGCTATTTTTACGAGCTTTATGTGTCTTTTTCCATCATTCAAATTATTTTTTTTTTACCACCCAATCTGACATTGAAGATTCTGAACCACCTAGATTAGGATCTAAGGTCACCAAAAGACTCAATTTTACTATCTCCATCTACTGGCAGGGAGGAACTATACCCAAGCATCTGGACTGGCATAGAAAAGAGGAGAAAGAACATTTAAAAGGTAAGCAAAACATATGTTTTTTAAAATTTTTTAAAAACGTGTCTCATTACACTCTACTATAACTAAAATTGATACAAGCCATCTTAAAGCAAGCAAGAAAATCTCTTTAGGTGGAATAATGTTCTTACCTGTAGCTCTAATACAAACAAGTGGAGACCTGAACACCTTCTTTGATGTTGGCTGTTACGTCTTTGCTCTTCCCAGCTTCTGTCTAGTCATTCCAAGGCTTAAGTGCTATTCTCACAATATCCCTGATAGTCTTCAGACTGCAGTGTGCTTGCTGGAATGCCTATACATATGTTCTCATTTCCTGAAATTCTCTGACATATTAAATATGACTTTACCTGGCAAATTATTATGACTGTTGAGAGAGTAGAGATACGTTTCTTTATTGAGCTGTAATTTATTATTCTGTTTTTTCTCTGGTACTTTTCCATTGTTCATTCATTAGTATTTTTGTTTGGCTGAACGTGCCAAATAATGGTCTGGGGTTGTGGCTCACTGGTAGAGTGCTTGCCAAGTATGTGTGAGGCACTGGGTTTGATCCTCAGCCCTGCATAAAAATAAATAAATAAAATAAAGGTATTCTGTCCGTCTACAAGTTAAAAAATTTTTTCAAAGATAAGTGACAAATAAAACTTTCTTGGTAATTAATGAGTAAGCCTTAGTACATATTTATATCAGTTTTTTTTTTGAGTTTGGTATTTTGCTTACTCATTAGAAATCTTCTGAAATTGCATTGGTTCACTTTTAACAAGATTATTACGTTGTGATCAAACTTTGCAGTATGATAACTGGAATAAAATACTTCTGTGGTTTGTGTGGTTGTACAGTAATAGATCTCTGTAATTCATGTTTTAGATAATGAGTACAGTTGTCTTCAAGGCTTATGTTATGCGTATCTTTCTTTAAAAAGCCCTCAACCTGAGAATAGGGATATCAACCTCATGTCAAGATAATTAATAACATTACAATTGCTGCAATTACATTAATTATAACTTGTACATATTTCCTAATAGTTTTCTCCTTTCTCCTTTCCCCCAACCCACATTGGCTTATATTTTTTGTACTTTTTTTTTTTCATGGAAAATATTACGTTTCTTTCAGAAGAGGAATGGGTGGATTCATAGGGAAACATGGGTGGAGAGTTTTCAACTTCAAAATTAGCTTTCAGAGGCAAGAATTTTCAAGGCAATGCTGTGCTCAGACAGGTCTGTTCACTTCTGGGAGGTCATGAATGCAGCTGTTCCATTTGCTCAGACAGGGATTAGACTCATATAAACAGTGCAGATGTCATAAAGAGGGATTCTCAAATCTTGTGGTGTCTGATGATGCCCAATCTGACAGACATATCCTCAGAATCTCCCCTGAGATCAGAAGACAAGGAAGTAGATATTTTTGAACAATGTTGAAAGGACTAGTGATAATGGAGTGTTGGAGAAAAATCTCACCTCACAAATGGAACTTCTGGTGGACTTGGTTAAGTCAAATTCAGTCTCTACATTGAGTAAAACCATGTATCTCCTGCAATCTGTTCCTTCCTCCATTTCACCTCCTCTTTTCAGTTCTCTTTTTCCTTTATGTTTGGCTCAATTTAAAATTATTGTGATAAAACTTGTTGCTGAAGAATCCAGCTAATGGATATATTCAAGGCCACTCTAGAATTAAGGATACTGAAAATCTTCTTTATGTGTATTCACTCTTTAACCCCAACCCTTCTAGTTGATAAAATAGGGTAAGCTGGAATGGAATAGGTTGGCACAGGGTATCCTCATCATTATTTAAATTTGTGTTTTGAGAAGGACATATTTTCTCACCAAAATATATTTTTTATTATTAATTTTCATTCATTGTTTCTTTTAAATACATCACATTTACATTTTTCATATTTTTATATCACTGAAATGAATAAAAATTGTTAAAGGGTAGTGCATGGGTTGGGAAGGCCGTGGTTTCTACCAGAGCAGAATGGTTAGGACATTCATGAGCATATTTTATTTATACTTTGTCTAATGACTGGTGGTCTTGTCCTAGTGTATTTATTCCAGATTTCATTATGTGGAATTCCTGAAAAGAAAAACCACATGTAGTAATCTTTTATCTTGCTACAAACATAAGTTGTAAATAGTAAATATGTCTTATGGAAATGTAAACACTTTATCACTAATTGACAACACTTAGTAACTCTGAAATACAAGATATGAGGATATGTTTTGTATATAAATGACTGAATTTTTTTTTAATCTTAGGGTAGAATTCATGAGTCATGGACTCATTACAGATACATTATATGCATTCACTTTTGAAGGTGAAATGCTAAATACAAACAGGAAACAGTAGTCTCATTTTTCAGCAATATGGCTGAATATATTAACACTGTAATAAATATATTCCTACCTATTTTCCTTAGGATTCATTCATTTGCCTAATGTACAGCTTAGCCTAATGCACAACTTAGTCTAAAAAATTTTAAACATTTTAAATTCTCATTAAAAACATACAATAATGGACTTACAAATCTGTGAAAGACTTAAGTTTGTAGTGACTGTCATTTTCTTGTAATTTTCATTGGTAAATTCTAAAAATTATCCCATCAGAATGTCAATACTTTACCTAGTCATTGTGAACTCACAAAGAAATAGGAGGTAACATCAGGCCATTTTGGAGATTGCTGGTAAATTCCAGTCTGAATGTTGTATATTATATGTCCCATGCAGTTAGAAAGTTGGTAGATCCTGAGACTCAAGAACAGATGTTCTTTATTGAAAATATTTTCTCTTAAATTTGTTTCTTAAAAGGTATATATAATAGGAATTTATGCTTAATCATGTTAGCCATTTTTTGCCATAATAATATTACTTGGTATATAAATGTACTTGTTGCTTAAGACATTTCAGAACTCCTAATATTATTACTCTCTACATTGAATAATAATATAATTCAATAGGAGAGTTGATTCACTAATTTTTAAGGTGAATGTTTCTTATGTAAGTGAACTACTCCTAATGTATCTCTCTTCTACATTCTGGTTTGGCCTCTTCCTGGTGTCTAAATTAATGTGCAACTTAACAAAGAAAGAAAACAGCATTGCCTAAACATGTTTCACAGTATTAGGGTGTGTGATTATATGTGTATGCAATTATATTCATTACTAATTGGTGTGTGTAAAGGCCTTAAAGAGATTCTGTGTTTATGCACTTGACTATTTATCCTGTGTCATAATAGATATGAAGAGAAGATTATTGTCAGTTTTTCTGCCATATTTGAGCATTCATGTAAAGTCACTCCATTGTACAAAACCCAAATGGGTTATTTTTACGATTACTCAGAAGTTTAAAATACCAGGCTGTCAAATCCTGACCATTTCTAAATCATATGTCTCAATACAAGAAGATTTTATAGCTCTTATTTGATGGGTCTTTTTATGATGTAAAGTCAGACGTTTTTGAACGTGAAAGTGGATACTAACAATAATCACACCAGGGAAACAGATTTAAACCAACGTTATTCCAGGCAAACCCAAACACTTCTACTACAGAATGATTTTGATTGCAGTTATAACAAATTGTAACTGTAACTGGCTTAAATAGTAAAAGTGATTTATTTATTAAAGTAACTGAGAAGCCCAGAGAGGAGATGAGTTTATTGTATGATTTAGCTCAACTTTTCTGTACAGTGATATATCTGCTCGTTTCTGTGTATTGACCTTTTTATCAGACTTTTATCAGCCTAAATGACTACCATAGTTTTGAGTCTCACTTTTACACCCCAAATTGTCTAGTCTCCCAGTGTTGAAAAATGGCCTTTGAGTTCACTCTGATCTGTGCATTAGAGTGATCCAGGCAACAAAGGAAATGGACTTGTATTGATTTCCCAGAATGCTTCTAGGTAGGATCAGTCTCACCTTTATCCAGGGTTGTGATAATATTGATGGGGGACCCTGGGAAAATGCTCATTATTTTAACTTTCCTCATGTACTTCTGAACACAGGCCTTCATTTACAACTATTTCCATAGACTAAGAGGCTAATGGTTTAGTTCTTGTACTCCTCATTATATTCAAAAGAATGACACATCTTTTTTTTTTTATTGTTATCATCATGAAACAGTAAAACTTCTGCAAATTGTTTCTTTTCTTCCTTCTGTAGTCAGCCCATAGAAAGAAATTTGAAATCATTGCCTAAAAGTCAGTGCTACTTGCATAATCACTTTGATCTTTTTGAGACTGGAACCTTTATACATATGGCCAGTTTTGCATTATGTCTTACATAACATTCTCCTGTTCTCTAGCATCAGGAAAGTGGATATCTGTAGTAGATTTTTATTCTCATTCTATTAAACAGAATTTGATAGTCAGTGTTTCTCCTTTATTTATATACTGCTTTGTAATTATTTTATTTTGTATAATTATCATATCCTTTGAATTTTTAGACAAATCACTGATTAATTCCAGTTGATACAAAAATAAATCAGTGATTTGCTTAAAATAACAGATTTTGTCATTCTTCAATTCATATTTCAGAGTTTTGGTAAAATAATTACTGCAATTGTAATATTCTCAGAGTGTGGCAAATTATAGAGCATGTTCTAATTTTACAAATAAGTGGGCTTAATAAGAAAATGGAAAGTCTCAGTAATGAGTACTCTGACTTGTCACCTTCAGCTGTGATATATGTGTAGATTAAAACAAATGAACCTGCAGTAGGATATAAAATGTTAATTAAAGGACTTTAGTTAGGGGGTATTCATTGTTAAATCTTCTTATTTTTATTCTGTACAGTCTCTGGAAACTTAGGAGTAGTGGTTAAAATGTTAATATAAATCTAAAATTGTTTTCTGCCTTGTCCCAGGGTATCAAGTTTTCTTACACTATCAAAGAGTGTTAGATAGTGCTGGGTGCCAGGCTCAGAATTGGAAACTAGATATGGATGTCAACAAAAATAATTTGCCACCTTGAAATCATAGTGTAGTGGAAAAGAATATAGCCAGCATATACATTAT